AGGAAGCAAAATATAGACTTCAGATTAATTCCATGAGGCACAGTGATCACAGACTCTGCAATGCTCTATTTAAATTAGAAAGGTTTCTAACGATCATTTTCTTTTTATTTAGATCATTTTCTTTTTACATGTGTACACAGTGAGATCAGAGAGAAATTTTTTAAATGTCACACAATGATTCCAATAAAAGGAAAGGGCTTTCACTCGTTACAGGTAACAGCTAAAGCCTAAAGGGCAAAGCTTTCCTTTCAATCTTTTACAGTAATCATGTAAACAAAACCTTAAAAGAGAATACTCTCTCCATCTAAAAATAAATGGATCTGTCCATTCAAAGAATAGTTGAATGAAACTGACAGAGAGCAATAACAATGATTATGGGTTCCTTCTCCAGTTCTGCTCTTCTCCAAAGGAGCTCCACTGACTTTTTGCAACGCCTGGTATGTGTGTGTTTATTATCAGGAGGTGCCCAGAAGTCTGTGAACAGCAATGATCCCAACAGTCTATAAGACTGAAGAAGGCGGGGACAATAATAACATACATTGTGCATGTCGCAAACTCTATCCATAAAACAGGGCTTCAATTTCCATTGGCCCATTGGGCACTGTCTCTGGATTGCATCATTTTTCCTTGTGCTTGATTTACTCTCATATTGCTCTGTTCACCGCACTCCCTAAGCATGCAAATCCTACTGCTAACGTTACCAGGAAGGGTCTACATCAAGTGATTGCCCTGGAAAGAAAATCAAAACTGATTAAGGACTACAGAGTTGGAAAATCAGTGCTGGTTACTGATCGCCACTTGGGCACATCCCATTCCACCACGGATACAATCTTGCAGAACAAGAACAAAGTGACAGGAGCTGTTAAAGGATCTGCTTCACTGAGGGCAATGAGACTAACAAAAATTTGAGAAGGGCCTCCATCAGCCACGAGAAACTTCCACTTGAATGAAGGCTAAGTTGCAGTAATAATTCAAACAGCTGGGAAAGAAGAGATTGAGAATTGTAGGTACTTGAAGGATGAAACGTCTGTCTGGATTCAGGGGACTGACTTGTTTACTAACCCTGGCAATTGCTCTTCTGTAAGTTGTAAAATGGTTAAAAATTAATATGACACCTAAATTCTCTCTTGCTTTGGAATTCAGCCAGTATCTATATATTTTATCTGGAGTGACAATTGCTTTCTTTTCATTTGTTTTCAACCAGTTAAAGATAATTACAGTTATTTGGACAAGATACTTGAGAGAGAAAAAAAAGGCTATATCCCTGTATCTCTTTATCTATCTATCACCTATCATAATCAAAGCAAATTTTCAGTTTATTTTAAATGAAATTCTATGGCCTAAATCTGAGATCATTCCTAATTTCCTAATAGTTTGGGAGACTTATGTTAAGAGCCTAAATTTTTAGCAGACTTTCTTGGTATTTTTACATGTTTAATGACTAGACCAACTTGATTTTCCAAGTTTCCAATTAGGGTGAAAAATAAACCATCTGCTCCAATCCTCAGAACTAAAACTGGGTGAAAAGAGTGGATTCAGCATTCTCATCATTAAAAGACCCACCTGTATAACGAATTTACAAATGTAAATGAGAGCTGAGGTCTCAGTTTTTCTAATCTACTGGTTACCACAGTACTCGGATGGGCTGATGGGCAATGGGATAAGAGTGCGGAGCTGATAAGAGTTGCATTATGGCTCCAAAATATAGCTTTGGCTGGTAGCCCAATGGTTATTGCTCTACACTTAAGAAGGTCACCAAAACTAGTCTAGTCCTGTTCACAGTCACATGGCTAACTCCTTTCAACTGTCCTGCAACAGGTGGAAATCTGTCACCACTGCCAGAAACACAATTCCGGGGGAGTCTTAGTGTACAGAACAGGAGCAGAGCAGCCTTTTTGGACGCCTTTGACAATCCAATATGGAGTCACTGAAGGCAATGATAGTTATGTCATGTGCTATGTCAAGACTGAGGTACTGGGGTGTAACGAAGACACCCGTAGGAGGAGCTTGGAGCACTCAAACCACAGGTCTGGACACTTGGATAAGGACTCCCTCTGGACACTCATATGGGCGGCTCCTTTGTAGCTCTCCTACACTGAGGTACAGTAGGAAATGGTGTGTTGGTAAGCCAGCTTTCAAATAAAATAAAATGAATTTTAAAAGCCCTGATTTGAAATAATTGCCAATTTCTGTGGTGTAAATACCCCCACTTTCAAACATCTAGCTCACAAAGATCTTGAATATTTAACACTAGACTCTCATGAACTGACAAGAGCCAGCTCCAGTCACGTAGGTAAGCAACAAGAGCATGGCTAGTTTTGCACTTAGAAGGGCATTTTCACTAACTCCCCACTCACTCATACCACCACAAAGTTCTTCCAGCTGCAGGTATCAACAATCATAACATATTTCAGTGTGGAATCAATGATGGGTAAAAATTGTTCCCTCTGTGCATCCCTGCAGAGCTAAAGCTAAACAAGCCAATTTGCTGAGTTACTTAGAACCAAGCATTTATGGCATCACAGATATTTTCTACTTGTCAGAAAATGTAATAGAGCCAAGACACTAATTGCTGTTTGTTTTCTGCCGCAAGTGCCGACTAAACAGAATGGATATTCAATAAGCTATATTAAACTGAAGGATGCATCTTCAAAATGGTGAGGGAACATTAATGTCAGAGGGAATTATGGGTATGAACACTTTCTGCTACTGTATAAACCTGTCCCTGCTACAAATGTTCCACGGCATAAATAATGGCTACGGAGATGGGTTTTGCTCTTGGAAGTTCAAACACAGAAAGGGAACTGATATGTTCAATGTCAACATTTTGGAGGGTAACACTTTTCCTGATTTATGAGGACCTATTATTTCGGCATGGACTGGTCAGAAACAAACAAACAAAAACCCCAAAAAACAGAAGAAAAAGAAAAGTTAAAAGAGCTGAAACATAGTAGGAAAAAATCCTTTTTGAAAACACTAATTCTATTGAAAATAAAAATCCAGGACTTTTCCATTTTAATCAAATGAAATGAAAGCTGGAGGAAAGCGACTCTGTTAAAATTTACTCCTCAAATTATGACTTCAAATTCTAGGGCCAGGGAACATGTCTGGAAACTAAACACTAGCCCCTCTGCCTCCTGCCTTTCCTCTCCCTTTTCTGCCCTCAACTCCACTGGCATTTGAGCTTCAAATTGGACAATTACTTTTACGACTTTCTTCTCCAAGTCTGGTTTTCCTAAGGAGGAGACATGAAAAGTATTAGAAGGCCATCAGCACGGGTGCTGGGACAAGCTTTGGGATGACTGCAGGGTCATGACTACCCGATTTTTGATCACGTGTTGATGGGGGAGATTTGGCCCTGCTGTGCCTCTGGATGTTCACCCACACACCTTCCTAGTGTTGGAACCACTACATACTATGGTGACAGAGGAGGAGACAGCATCATGAAACCTCTCATATTTCATGGATTTTGATTTTTCTACACATTAATATGCTCTAGAAAGCTTTCCATATTATATTAGTGCCTATCGATTTACCTCATTTTCTTCATGGCTGCCACCCTATTTCATACTATGGGCATGCGAGAATTTATTTCATCATAGACACTCTTATTAATTTGGGGGGTTTTTTTGCTATTAGAACATTACTGAAGGTAACAAACATCCTTTTATACCTCTCTTTGTGCACAAGAAAGGCCAGACTCCCACAAGTTAAATCGCTAGTCCAGAGGATACATTAATTGTACATATTTAAACAGGTAACTAGGTAAAGGTAACTCTCAATCTGTTTTCCAACTGGATGTATCAATTGGTAGTGAAAACAATCGACTGGGTGAAAACAATCCCCACTGATCCAGGTTCTCACCAATATTTAGTACCATGAACCTTCTTCATTTTTGTTATCATGACTTCAACTTGCATTCCCTTCATCGCAGATCAGTGTCATCTTCTGGCTGTTTATGGCTTCAGAGTTTTCTCCTCTGAGAAGAATTTTTAAAATCTATGTTCTATTTTTTAATTCAATTTTTCTTTATATACTAAAGGTTCCGAATGTTCCATCGACCTCATTGGCTAGTCAGTCTCTTGTCTCCACCACCGAGTTCTAGAATCCAGCCCCTAGGAGACATGCTTCATGCTGCACCACAGAGGAGCTCTCAATCCCTCAGGCTTTACTCCAGACTTTAACGTGTTCCAATCAGTTCCCCACCCCTAAACCCCATACACACCTTGAAAACAACTTGGAACTATAGAATGCCAGAAGGAAGGTTGGGAGTCATCTAGTCTTAAACTCTCATTTTCATAGCTGAGGGGTAGAAGATCTACACCTTGCTGTCCAACATGGTAGCCATTAGCTACATGTGTGTTTTAAATTCTAAATTAATTAAAATTAAAAATTCAGTCACATTAGCCAAATTTCAAATGCTTTAGAGCTACATAGCTCATGTCTACTATATTTAGAATGGTTTTATCACTGTAGAAAGTCCTAGTGGACAAGGCTGCTCTCGAGCTTCACTACTTAAAGAGGGTTCTGCTAACTGGCAGCAGGATGAGAGGCATCCCTGGCAGCTGGTTAGAAATGGAAAATCTCAATTAACAGAGAATCAGTTTCCACCTGAGGCCTCCAGAGTCCAAATCTGGAACTTAACAAGATCCCTAGATGAGAATCTGAGAAGCCCTAATCATGTGACCGCCCCCCAGCGTCATACAACTGATTGGTGTCCATCCAAGCCCTTCCCTTGACCAAGCTACCATTTTCCCTTACCTTCCCATGTCCTTCTTATCTCCCTGCCACACTTGCTTCCTCATTTTGTTTAATTATAGCATTTTATAAGCATTTATAGGGCAGCCAGGCCATTGAGGCCCACAGAAAATCCTCCATACCCTTATCCTCATGCTTTGCAAGTGTTTTCCCAGACCCTTGTGATGGCTGTGGTGTTGTTCAGCATTTCCCCTGGAGAATCTGTTGGAGGTGGGGAGTGGGGGCTAGAAATGAAAGGCAACCTTGAAACCAGTGGGGCGCCAGTCATCAGCCTTGGTCTTGGTGATATAATGGCAGCATTCAGGTCTCTAGACTCCATAGCCCTGGGGTAGAGTAGACAAAGTACACGATGTATTTATTTACCTTGGAATGTTTCACCTCTATCTATAGATTCCAAAGTTCAGAGCAGGCATTGGTGATCTGCTAACATAAGCACTGGCCACTCAAAGTAACTGGTTAGTAGATCACCAAAAGCTTTAGGGCATTGACAGCAGGGTCGTGCCCTTCCCCACACCCCCACCGAATGCAGCAGCCGTAGGCATCTATGAGAGCAAGCTCCAGGTCCACAGAGACCTCTGAGAGTGCACGCATGCCAGCCCAACTTTCTGACGGTGCTGCAGGAATTGCCGCCGCATCTTTGGGTTTTGTTACTGAACTCAGAACCACTGAGCTGGGGCTACACTCCAGGCAGAGTCCCCAACAACCAGCCTGGCCAATATAGAAGGAGGTGCCCCTAACAGACATATGCTCTGAGAGGTGGAGATTGCAGAGGGCCGGCTTCTGCAGATACACTAACCTCTAGCAATACCGTGAATTCCCGGAAAAGGATTCTTGTATGTCCTAGTCTTCCCTATGATATTTATAAATTGGATCAAACACCATACAATATTTATTGTTAAGACTATGCTCAAGGGATTATGAGTGGGGTGTGTGTTTTTCTCTGTAAATCACAGAAAACACCGTCCATATCCTCAAGGAACTGCCGGTGTAGTTGGATTTTTCACTCATGTCCGTGAAAAAGCCATAATAATCACACGAGGCTGAGGACCTAAGGGGGATGGAGAGGGTCTGAATCACAGGGACTCAGAGGAAAGAAAGGGTGTAGAGAGGGAGGAGATTTAGGGAACGAAAGCGTTAAAAATACAAGGCACTACATTAGCGCAGCTCCTATCCCAATGCTTGGTTTCTCAACGCCCAGAACAGAGCGGGCACGTAGTAGGCACACAGTATACACGACACGTGAATGCTAAGGGCTGGAATAATGGCAAAAGCAGGCAGTGTCTGATGGCTGAGACTTGACAACAGGTCAAAAGGCGCGGACGTTGGCATCAGCGACTGCGCCTCACAAACTCTAAATGCTCTTTAGCCCTCCCGCGTACGGCGAGTACGAGGAGGGGCGGGGGGTGCTGGTTCCGGCCGCTCCGGTAACTTCGGGTCCCGGACGTCTCCCTCCCCTCGGCTACCCACCTGGGGGAGGGGCTGGGGAAGGCCACCTATCGCCTCCACTCGCCGTTAAGCATCGCTCGGTGCTCCCTGGGCCTTCCAGGGCGATGTCACGCCTCCGACCCAGGGCCTAGCAGGTGCCTGCCTGGTGCCCACACCCGACGCAGGAAGCCAGACACGGCCGCAATCCGTTGCCACACGAGCGCCGGCGGCGCCTCAGCGGAGCCCGCAGGCTGGCCGCCCCCCCAGCGCCCCCCCAGCCATCCCCAAGCGCTTCCGGCGCGGTGACGCACGCACGGCAGGTGTTTGGGGGAGGGGCT